AAAAGAATAAAAAACAATTGTTCTCGTTGGTGGGCTGGGACTTTAGGCCGATAAAGAAACTTCAGAGAACAACTTCATCTAGTGCTTTGAGATAGAGGATTTAGAGATTTTGCAAAGCACGGTCAGAGAGAACTTGAAGCTTCTTCAGTTCAGCATGTCAACCCACGATATTTTTGGTTATTAGTTTCTGAGCCTCAAGAAGATGTAACTGTCATGAGGTCTTGAGCATCATCTGGTCTGAGTTGGACAAAGGACAGTGAAGGAGGCAGATAATGCATAACTAAAATCAGTGATTGGAAGCGGGGAGGTCTGGATCTGTCCTAGACATTTACAGAACAAGAACAATGAGGAAAAGACTTAAACTATAATCTAAGAGGCATAATTGAAAATATGCTACATGAATCAGTCTTCAGGGCTTAAGTTCACCTTTGGCATAATAAATTTAGAAGTCCCTGAAATTTTATTTTATTTATTTATTTATTTATTTTGAGACAGAGTCTCGCTGTCACTAGGCTGGAGTGCAATGGCTTAGTCTCCGCTCACTGCAACCTCTGCCTCTCGGGTTCAAGTGATTCTCCTGTCTCAGCTCCCCAAGTAGCTGGGACTATAGGCGCACCACCACACGCAGCTAATTTTTTGTATTTTTAGTAGAGACGGGGTTTCACCATGTTGGCCAGGATGGCCTGGATCTCTTGACCTCGTGGTCTGCCCGCCTCTGCCTCCCAAAGTGCTGGGCTCACAAGCGTGAGCCACCACGCCCAGCCCTTTTCTTTTACAGTATGAATTGAGTGGCAATAGTAAGGTTGATGGAGTCTTGAGTTCAGCTCTTGTTTTTGACATTTACTTATATCTTGACCTCAAAAAAGAGAGCATTGGATAGTATTCATCCACTATATTTTACTTATTCATTGACTCAAATTACCTCTACTTTCATGTTATCACAAATATCTTTGATGAATACTCTTGATCTGTCCTCATATGGGTCTACAGGAGAGTTTTCTTGGAGCATAGGCCTGGGCACAGAAGGAATGGTTCTCCAAATGTCTTTTGCAAAGCCACTATCACTAAACCACCACATGAGAGTGTGAGTTTCTCCGTCTCCCATCCGACACTAAGTTATACCTAGTGCTATAAACTGCAAGTTTGTGTCCTCACAGAATTCACTGTTGAAGCCTAGTCTCCAATGTGGTGATATTAGATGTGGCCTTTGGGAGGCGATTAGGTCAATTTCCCAAGGGAATTATTTACATTTAATCTCTGTTCCCCAAGCCATTTATTCACCCTATTAATTATTTATTGTCCGTAAACAAAATTACCTATATTTCCCATCTTTTCTCTCCCTTCTGAAATCAGGCTATTTAAGTATTTGGGCCTTATTGGGATATTGGATGATCACTCAATGATTCTCTCCCATGTATACATCATAACTTCATTTGCCATTTCTCTTATTAATCTGCACTTTGTGAGTTGATTTTTCAGTGAAACTTCAGATGGCAAAGGGGAAGTTTTTCCCTTGGTTCTCTACCCTACTTGTATAGATTAAAAATTTAATGTAGCTTGTACTAGTTTCCATCTCAGAAAATTCAGTATTTCTAATCTTGTGCAGATAAGAAACCTTATTATTATTAACAGATATATAGAAAAACATGTTTTTTACATTTTAGAACCTTTTTGTTGCCCAGGCTGGAGTGCAGTGGTACAATGTTGGCTTTGCCACCTCTGCCCAGGCTGGAGTGCAGTGGTACAATCTTGACTCTCTGCAACATTCGCCTCGTGGGTTCAAGCGATTCTCTTGCCTCAGCCTCCTGAGTAGCTGGGATTATAGGTGCGGGTCACCCCATCCGGCTAATTTTTGTATTTTTAGTAGAGACAGGGTTTTGTCGTCATGTTGGCCAGGCTGGCCTCAAACTCTTGACCTCAGGTGATCCACTCATCTTGGCCTCCCAAAGTGCTGGGATTACACGCGTGAGTCACTGGGTCAGGCCTAGAATCTCTTTCATATTGAGAACCATATTTTTGGGAAACAGTTTTTGTAGAATCTCAAGATTCCATTTGAGTGGAAATCTACATAAGCTTTATTTATAATATATTTTCAGTGACTTTGTTTCCTGTCTTGTTTTATACGCTTTCAGGGCTTCATCACTTCTGGGAAGGAGGAAGTGGTTCTGAAGCATTTGTTCTCATCTTTTCTGCCTCCTAAACAAAAATGTTTCCTGTTTTGGAACACAAGATTGGAAAATGTTGCTTTGTGAAGCAGAAGCTAACAGAAATCATAAAAATAAATAAATAAATAAATAAATACTGGCCATTAGCAGAAGTGACATCATTACAGAGATTTGTTTCTGTGTTACTAATCAAACTGTATTATTTCCCAAATCTTGACCAGTGACAAGAGTGACTTCTCAATCCAATCTTATCAGAGAATCTAGGTGTATTTTCCCAGTTCTGTGAGGATGAAGGTTGTTTTAAACTTCTGCTTTGATTTCTGAAGTTTCAATAATTTGAGTCTCTGGAATTAACCAACAGTAGAAAGATAAACAGGAAAAAAAAAAAAAAAAGACTACAAATTTATTACCTGCATATGCACAAGAGCCTCACAAAATACAATGCTCCAAGAAATGATACTGTGGGCTAGGGGAGGTACCCAAACGCCGTTAGGATGTTGATCCCAGCCAGTGTCCAGGCCCTTGCCACTGTTGCCAGAAAGAATCCAAGGACAAGTCAGAAATTAGTGAAAGTACAGAGGTTTATTGCAAAGTGAAAAATACACACTCAAGGAAGGAAAGTGCAGGCTTACTCAAGAGAGTCAGTCTTGCCCAGCAGTGATTGGGGCTTCTATCTTTGTGGGTTTCTTTAACCAAGGGGTGGAATATTCATGAAGATTTCTGGAAAAGGGTGACAATTTCTCAGAACTGTGGTGCTATCCATTTTTCCATGAAATATGGGTGTTCTCAGAACTGTCATGGTGTTGGTGTGTGTCTGATTTGTATGTTAATCAGTGTATAAAGAGGTCCCAGGTGAAAGCTCGGTCAAATCCAGTGCCATGTTGGGTCAACTAGGACTTACTCAGCTTAGCAAACATTTAGGTTTTCAGGGTCTTTTTGGCTCCTAGCTTGTGCAGCTATTTCAACAGCTTCCTTTTTGCTAGTCATGTGAAACTGCTGCCTGGAATTTTCTATTCTCTTGTGACCACCCTATATTATTTCTCTCTCAGAAGGGCCAAATAATTGATGTTTTTATACCATTCTGAGACTACAGAAAGAAAAAAGGTCTTAGGACTTCTGCGGGATTGGAGGAGGTGGTGACACAAGTTGTAGGAGGGTGAGGGAGGAAAGGCAAAGGCACCAGGGGAGGAAAGGCAAAGGTTTTCTTGTTATATAGATAAAGTCTCTCTGGTAATCACAGAATAGCTGACAGCCTGTGACAAAGTAGTTTTCTCTCCTTTGAGTCAGTCTTAGATACTTCTTTAGGCAGGAAAAGGGGCCTCAGGGAAAGCCAGTACTTGCATCCATGGTTTACTAATGTAGATTTTCTTGATAGGTATAAATTTCTCTTACAAGAGTTTTTCAAAGCTATTCCTATGTTTGCAGTTTCTCTGAATAGCCATCTTGAAATAGGACAAAGTATACTTTGGGATGGCATATTTTAGTCTCCCACAAGGGGTACTCCACACTAAGATTCAGAGATAAAATCAAGTTCAAGGAGTATTTTTTGTGCACCTAATGTGTTTTCTGGGGCACTGTACAAGGCCCTAGAATATACTACTGCATTTAACCTTTAAAGCAATCTCTTGAGGAAAGTAAAGTGAAGGAAATAAAACTCTTTTACCCCAAAAGATATTTCTTTGACCTATTTTGAAATGGCTGCCTCAGGGCCCGCAGACCAATGAGGCCCTGCGAATCAGTCTTTTGTGGGGGAAATTTCCATTTGTTGCCAGGCCTTCCCTTTCTAGTCCTTTCCTGGATCTAGGAGAGATTAACTGAGAGTCTGATACCTTTTTTATTTTTACTTTTTTAAGAGACCGTCTTGCTCTGTCACCCAGGCTGGAGCGCAGTGTTGCAATCATAGTTCACTGCATCCTTGAACTCGGTGGGCTCAAGCAATCTTCCTGCCTCAGCCTTCTGAGCAGCTAGAACTACAGGTGTGCCCTGCAACACCCAGCTTTCTTATTTGTTTTTCGTGGAGACAGGATTTTGCTATGTTACCCAGGCTGATCTCAAACTGCTGGGCTCAGGGAATCCTCCTTCCACAACCCCAAAGTGGAGGGCATGAGCCGCCACGCCCAGCCTGACAAGAGACATTTACCATCTATTTTTTCTGAGGACTGCTACCTGTGAGGTTTCAGCTACATAACAAGACCCCCCACCCCTTGCTAGCCAAGCCTCTTCCTTTCTCCCTCCTATAATGTTTTGCCAGGATCCAAGCTTGCATTCTTTCTATAACCTCAAGGTGATATATAAATTTCTGTATCTCATTGGTGGGTGGGTCTTCATTTTGAAGTCTCTCGCGTCTATGTGCTAAATACACTTGTATGCCTTTTCTTCTATTAATCAACCGGCCTCACGTCAATAATTTTCTGGGAGTTTCCAGGGATCCAAGGCCAGTGCCCGTTCCACAGTTAAGAATGGCATTTCATATAACCTGTAATCTAATTGTTAGTTATGGGGTTCAGGACATGCTATCCCCAAAGTTCGGCCCCAAAGGACTGCATGTGCAAGGATTTTGGCTTTCCCCTTGAAGCAGATTGACCTTGGATGTACAGATTTACTCAGATAAAGTAAGACCCTTTTGTGAGATGGGCCCAGAGAAAAGGACCATCTTAGAATACAAAGGACACAGGAAGAAATCAGCATGAACAAGCCTTGACGAGTTTCCCCAGTTTTAAAGTTGATTTAAGATAGTCAACCAATGGTGTGACAGCTATCCTCCGTGAGAACGTAAGTGGCTCTGAAAAGAGCCTTTGGAAACAAGTAGGAAACCCAAGCTAGAGCAGGGAATTATGCTCGCTCACCACGAATACGACGCGCAAGCTGGATGTCCTTAGGCATAATAGTGACGCGCTTGGCGTGAATAGCACAGAGATTGGTGTCCTCAAAGAGCCCCACCAGATAGGCTTCGCACGCCTCTTGCAGCGCCATCACCGCCGAGCTCTGGAAACGAAGGTCAGTTTTGAAATCCTGCGCGATTTCTCGCACCAGGCGCTGAAATGGCAGTTTGCGGATGAGCAACTCAGTCGACTTCTGATAACGGCGGATCTCGCGCAAGGCCACAGTGCCAGGCCGGTAGCGGTGGGGCTTCTTCACACCGCCAGTTGCTGGAGCGCTTTTGCGCGCTGCCTTGGTGGCCAGCTGCTTCCGTGGTGCCTTGCCGCCGGTGGACTTGCGGGCTGTCTGCTTCGTCCGAGCCATAATTGAGAAAGCTATGCTCTGAAATAAAGCACTGAATGAGCAGTGGCTTCTACCAGAATTTATAACGATGATCTGATCCTGATTGGTCAGAACTGCTGTGGGAATAACCTGATTGGTTCTTAGTACCATCTTCATTTGGTTCCTGCCACCTCTTCCCCCGCCAACCCCTCCCCCCGACGGAGTCTCATTCTGTCGCCCAGGGTGGAGTGTGGTGGTGCGATCTCAGCTCACTGCACCCTCTGCCTCCCAGGTTCAAGCGATTCTGCCTCAGCCTCCGGAGTAGCTGGGCACTTGCCACGACGCCGCTAATTTTTGAGTAGAGAAGGAGTTTCACCATGTTGGCCACGCTGGTCTAAAACTCCTGACCTCAAGTTATCCGCCCGCCTCGGACTCCCAAAGTGCTTGGATTACAGGTGTGAGCCACCGCGCCCGCCCTCCGTGCAAATTTTATTTATTGTTTTCAACCAATCATGTTAAGATTCCCCCAATGAAAATATAATCTGACCTAGAATTTGTATAGGTCAGTCGTGGTCTTAAATTCATTTCCAATGGGTCGTTTTTCCTATTTCGGATCGTGTAAAAATATATACAGTAGAACAATGTATTTGCTAGTACTTCCAAAAAGTAGTTCTGTTTTGTAACTGCTTAATTAAATCTTTTAATGACTATACCAACACCCAGAACAAAAACAACTTAAATTTAGTCTGGCACATTCTCCGCTAAAACACCAAAACCTTAGTTTTGCCCAGTGTAGTGTGGGGAAGGAGTTTGATAGGAGCTTGAACCAATAAATGGTATCTGACCTCTTCATTAACTGAGTTTAAAGCAATCCAATGGCTTATTGGATTAATTATGTAAATCATTGTTTAATTTCATTAGCATGCGCGGAATTATAGGTTTGGGTCAGTGATTAGATTTTTGCCAGTGAATCTGGGTAGTTCTGACAACAGCATTTTATTAGGATGGAGATTTTAGTTGATCAAAGGACTACCAGGTTCTGGTATTGATAAAGACCCATAAAAACAACAAAAAGGTTGGTTTAACATTTGTTATATTCACAGGAGCAAATGATCACCAGAAATACTTTTGTTTAGGTTTTGTTTTTCTTTTTTTGAGACGGGGTCTCGCTCTGTCTCCCAGGCTGGAGTGCAGTGGCGAGGTCTTGGCTCACTGAAATCTCAAACTCCTGGGGCTCAAGTGTTCCTTCTGCTGTCAAGTTTCTTCTGCCGCCAAGTACAGGCAAGGGGCGCTGCGCCCTGCATTGATTTTTTTTTTTTTTTTTTTTTAGATGGAGTCTCGCTCTGTTGCCCAGGCTGGAGTGCAGTGGCGTGATCTCGGCCCACTGCAACCTCTGCCTCCTGGGTTCAAGAGATTCTCCTGCCTCAGCCTCCCTGGCAACGCTCGCCACCACGAACGGTTAATTTTTGTGTTTTTAGTAAGGACGAGGTTTCACCATGTTGACCAGGATGGTCTCGATTTCTTGACCTCGTGATCCACCCTCCTCGGCCTCCCAAAGTGCTGGGATTACAGGCGTGAGCCACCGCGCCTAGCTTTTTTTTTTTTTTAAGAGGCAGAGGTCTCGTTATCACGGTGGTCTGGAACTCAAAGTCCCAAGAGTTTTTTCCCCTCCCCACCCACCTGCCTCAGTTTCCCAAAATGCTGAGCACGCGTAAACCACCGCGCCCGGCCCCAAAATGTTTTTTAAAGACCTAGAAAGGTGTTTGTGGGGAGGGTACAATGAAGGACGGTCGTTTAACAGTATAATGAAATAATTGGATAGTATTCACTAGGCCTGATTCAATACCTGTATTTTACCCAATAGGAAACTAATGACCTCAGTGCTTGAACTCGGCCACAAATTTCTGATAGGTTTGGAGAACAGAGTGCTCAGTTCTTCCGTAGAAACGGTGGGTGGCTCTGAAAAGAGCCTTTTGTCTTATAAGTTTACATTTTTAAAGTCCAGTCCTTACTTGCCCTTAGCTTTGTGGTGGCTCTCAGTCTTCTTGGGGAGCAACACGGCCTGGATGTTAGGCAGAACACCGCCCTGAGCGATGGTAACTTTACCAAGCAGCTTGTTGAGCTCCTCGTCGTTGCGGATGGCCAGCTGCAAGTGACGCGGGATGATGCGAGTCTTTTTGTTGTCGCGGGCTGCGTTGCCCGCCAGCTCCAGGATCTCGGCGGTCAGGTACTCCAGCACCGCCGCTAGGTAAACCGGAGCGCCGGCCCCGACCCGCTCAGCATAGTTGCCCTTGCGGAGCAGGCGGTGCACTCGCCCCACGGGAAACTGGAGCCCGGCTCTAGAGGAGCGGGTTTTGGCCTTGGCGCGAGCCTTGCCTCCCTGCTTACCACGTCCAGACATAGTAAAACGACCTGTGACCTAAGTGAGAAAGTGACTGGAAGGAAACTAGAGGGACGCATTTTATAGCGGCTGCTGGGCGCGAAAAAGAAGCTGGGCCATTGGCTAAGCTTGCGGCTCTCTCTTAATGCAAATAAGGTTTCTGAATATACGTATTTTGATTGGACTATATTGATATCGACGTCATCTGAGTAACTTCCAATCAGACAGAAGAGTTTCTCAATCTCATCTGCATATAGACTTGTGAATAAATAGGGCATAACCTAGCTTGTCTTCATTCTTCTTTCTTGAGTGGTCTTTCACTCTCCTCCGCCATGCCTGACCCGGCTAAGTCCGCTCCAGCCCCCAAAAAGGGCTCTAAGAAAGCCGTAACCAAGGCCCAGAAAAAGGACGGCAAGAAGCGCAAGCGCAGCCGCAAAGAGAGCTATTCTATCTACGTGTACAAGGTGCTGAAACAGGTCCACCCCGACACCGGCATCTCATCGAAGGCCATGGGCATCATGAACTCCTTCGTCAATGACATCTTCGAGCGCATCGCGGGTGAAGCTTCCCGCCTGGCGCATTACAACAAGCGCTCGACCATCACCTCCAGGGAGATCCAGACGGCCGTGCGGCTGCTGCTGCCAGGGGAGCTGGCCAAGCACGCCGTGTCCGAGGGCACAAAGGCCGTCACCAAGTACACCAGCTCCAAGTGAGCTCGCCCGCAGCTGCCGACAATCCAAAGGCTCTTTTCAGAGCCACTCACGCTTCCAGAGAAAGAGCCGGTGCATTTTGCTTGTAGTCTTTTGAGTGGGCTACGGCCGGCCTCGGTTAGGAGGGAAGATGGCGGGAAAAAGTAAGCTAAGCTCCCTAGGCTTTTTACGTGTGAGTATATACGCTCAGTCTGACAAATTTAGTTTAGGTTCTTAGGTGCCCTTGGGGAAAAAGCCTTGCAGTTGTGCTTTAAACTACAATTACAAGTTTGCTTTCGCTTACTCCTTCCTTTTTTTTTTTTTTTTCTTTTTGAGACGGAGTCTTGCTCTGTTGCCCAGGCTAGAGTGCAGTGGCGCGATCTCGGCTTACTGCAAGCTCCGCCTCCCGGGTTCAACCAATTCTGCCTCGGCCCCCTGAGTAGCTGGGATTACAGGCGCCCGCCACCGTGCCAGGCTAATTTTTGCGTTTTTAGTAGAGACGGAATTTTACCATCTTGGCCAGGCTAGTCTGCAACTCCTGATCAACCCGCCTCGACCTCCCAAAGTGTTGGGATAACCAGCGTGAACCATAGCCCGCGCCCGGTCGGGTTAATCTTTAAACGCTTGTAACGTCCCCCTTCTCTGATTGGTCAACGCTCTATTTGAAAAGCCCGCCAAGAGCTGCAATTTGCCAGATAGTCTCATTCGGGTTGTGTTTTTCGAAGAGGTTCTCCGGGAATGGGAATGAATTTTCCGTTATCTGTAGGTGGGATTTTAAAGTCCATGATTAGGAATCCTGAGACAGAAGTTGGAGAATCCCTCATTTAAAGAGAAGCGGACCCCAGAAGAGATCACAGAAATAGGAGGTAAACCAAGAGCGTGGGAGTATAAGGGAGTGGAGACTTTCAAGGCATGATCCCCTCTTCTCAACAGTGCCTGAATTCTCAGCATTGCATCCTCTGCCACAGCGTTATCCTCTCTTAAATAAATTATTTCTACTGTAAATCTTTAAAAGCAAAATAGCAAGCCCCTCCACAATTCCACTCCAGGCTTTAAAATCACCCCGTAGCTTTTCCTTTATTTTCCTGCCGTCACTTCCTTTGCAGCTATGGGTGGAAGGCTATCTCGGACGAATAGTGTCGTCTCTGTCACAGGTGACAAACAGCCCCGAATTATGCCAACTGGTTAGCGGGTCGTGCAAAATACATGTAGGATTTGCCGTTCACTACCCTAAAATGTTCTCTTCCCCAGCACCTTGTCATTAGTTTGGCGCCTCGGGCTTGGCGACAGAGCTTATCGACAAGCTAAGCTACTTGGAGAGCAGTCCCCTAATTTCATCATGTTCCTTAACTTGGCATCACATTTGTCGCCTCCCTTCATTCCTCTTCGCTCTCTTTTACGAGATTGCCCATCCCGCGTCCCTGAGAGAACATCTGAGGGATGATTAGCCTCCGAGTGGGTGAGAGAGCACGTGTGGCTTTCTCTTGCCATCTTGTGGCAAAAAAAGCAAAAGCACAAGTTCAAGGCGTTGTGTTTTCTGGTCCCAGTTAAAATGCTTTCTTCTTAACTTTGTACTGAGTCAGTGGGCTAGGGTAGGGTTTCCATTTTTCACTCCTTTTAATTGCAGGATTCAAGCTTCTTCAAGAGTCGTTAGTGCGGAGGTTAAAAGGGAGCGGGAGGAGGGTGGGGGAGGTAAATAGAAAGAGCGAGGAGTGGGTAAGGGAGGAAGTCCTGTTGAGTTTTGAGATCTGGTCAGAGCTGTCCAAAAGAAATAAACAAATAAAATCAAAAGCCAAAATGCTTTGTACCCTAAAATAAATAATAATAGTATCATGCTTTCTAGTTCTATTAGATTAAGACCCCACACTTACAACTCAATTTAACCTTAATTTTCCGTTTAAAGGCCCTGACTTCAAATACCAACTACACTGAGGGTTGGGACTTCAACATTAAGTTTTTTTGTTTTGTTTTGTTTTGTTTTTTGAGACAGAGCCTCACTCTGCCGCCCAGGCTGGAGTGCGGTA